AATTACCCCTAACGAGTGTATATTCTGTTAAAATATTCTATTGTGTTCTCTGTGACCAATGCATAGTTCAAGACATTTTCTTAAAAGCGATTTTCTAAATGATATACTATCACTTCTGATCAAAAGATGTGACTTTTGGCTGGACGTTCTTTATTGATGGTCGTATACATAAATAAAACGAGAAAAGTAAAAGAAAGAATATATTTATCGAGAAAATAAATAGAAAAAAAAGTATTTTCATTCAAATAGATAGTATTATCCAAGAATTTTCTTTAAGAAACATACGCAAAACAATTTTATTTATCTTAGATAAATGAGAAAAAAATAATGATAAGTGTTTAACAAGTAGATTAGTAAATTTAATAGAAGTATTTATTATGCATTACGTCAACTAAATTGATTAGACATTATCTTACGTCTACACAAAGAAAATATAATAAAATAAATTAAACGACTTAATGTCGATTTTGATAAGACAGAAAATACTTTTTACGGACATTGAAATAACTACATAATAACTACAGATAAGGCATAAACATTTTTATGATGAAACATGTTCCATTATAAATCATCTATCAAAGATACTTGACATTATGATTCAAGATAAAAGGAGGACATGATTATGACTACTTTCAAAAATATTTACATTTCATTATTTTTATTTTTTATGAATAGTGAAATTTGGGCTATGTCCAAATTGCGAACAAAAATTAAGCCAATTAAGAAAAGAGTGTTCGCAATTTGGAACACAGAAAATAACGTTGATATTATTTATATTGCGTTTCCAAATTGCGAACACTTTTTATAATTAAGTAATATAGTTTTGATTCTTTTTATTTGACAAGTCAATACGAATTTGTCATTTGAATATATAATAATAAATGAGAATAATGATGAACGAAAATAAAAAATAATATAATAATTTTTTTCCTGTTTTTAAATATTTTTATTATTTGTAAAAAAATACAATAATAACAAGGAAAAAAAAATTATTATATTATTATTTATTTTCGTTCATCATTATTCTCATTTATTATTATATATTCAAATGGCAAATTTGTGTTGACTTATTAAATAAAATGAAATGATACCATTCTTATTCTCAAACTTCTATATTTATATTATTAATAAAATTGAACTCATAATCAGCTATTGCAATAACTAATTAATCAAAGTGTTCGCAATTTGGAAACGCAATAAAAATAAGATCAACGTTATTTTTGTGTTCCAAATCGCGAACACTTTTTTCTTAATTGGCTTAATTTTTGTTCGCAATTTGGAAGCTACGGAAATTTGTAAAATTTCAAATATAGTCTAATAATCAAAGTAGGTATTTAAACCTCATTAGTAAAGTCTATCAGATTCATACTTTTTGGATACGAACTGATTGAAAGATTATTGCCAATATTTAACGATTTTTTTAGCTGCATTCGTCAAGTCACTCCGAAGATACGAGATACTTTTTAACGGTTATGTGTACAATAATCAGGCCATAATTAAGTGTGATTTTTAGAATATCAGCTATGGAGTCGATTCCAAAATTGAAGGGCTCCACTCTTTGGTATCTCATCGAAACCAGAGTATAGATATGGATTCGATCATGATCTTAAAAATGACACGTCAATCTTTCCACTACCGAATTGCATATAGGAATAAGTCAAAATAATTTTCCTTTCCTTTCTTCTTTAGATAACATTGTTCACTTCTGTATACAGTATAAGAGTACTTAGAACGAAAGTTCCCTTCCATGATATTATAAAAGCAGCGGTTCACTTTGAATTACATACTATTTCATAGTCATTTAAAGCTTCGAAAATTGCTCTTTTTGACTGATATTTGACCTTAATAGTTAGGCTTTCTATCAAAACAAATAATATTCTTGAAATCAACATACAAAATGAAGTCAATCTATCAACTCTCATTTGTCTCGAAAAATTCAGTGTTGGTTTCCTCCAGAGATACGTCCAAAAAATAAATTCAATCAAAATTTCGTTCTTATCATTTATCCTGCTGCCATTTCAAGTTCTTTTAGCATTCTGAAATTTTCCGACTCTACTCACATCGTTAGACTGACGTCTCGACTAATTTTATTTTTTGTCATATCCCTCAAGGACAAATGACTGCATTTTGCTAGGAAATTGAAAGTTGATAGATCATTTTGTAACAGACATGAATCGACTCAGTTTTGTATGCTGATTTCAAAAATATCATTTATTTTAATAGAAAGCCTTACTATTAACGCCCATCTAATTGAATTCTCCGTTCTTTCTTTTCTTGGACAGAACGTTTCATAAATTGTATGGATTTTAACTCAATCATTTTTTTCTGCTACAGATCAGCTCAACTTATTGCTCAGTATCGTCCTCGAGCAGTTATTATGGCCGTAACACGATCTTTAAAAACAGCTCGACACATGCATTTACATCGTGGTTGTTGTCCGGTTTATATTGCCCGTAAGTAATATCTTTCAAAATTTTTTCTCTATTCAAACATTTTCTTTTATTTTTAGCTACTCGAAGTAAGTTACATGCAATAGGAATAAAATATATACAAAGAAGATATTTTTAACGTTTCTCCTTTTTTAAACAGAGGCTGATTCTCAATCGGCGCTTATTGAAGGTAAGAAAAACGAAAAAAAAAAGATATTTATGTGTTAGTTGATATTGTCTTTTTTTTGTTTTAGACGACTATGAGAAGACTTTCTGTGATATGACAAACACTTTGTTTTCTAAATTTTTATTATTTTTTGTTTTTTTCTTCTATAGATACAAATTATGACAAAGACGGAGAACCTCTATTCAAACAACATCATATATCAGCAAATCAAGCATTATCTATGAGTGAGTGGTTACTTGATGTTGATGCTCGTGTTATAGATGCCATAAAACTTGGTAAAGCACGTGGTATTGTTTCAACTGGTGATGCAGTTATTGTTCTAACGGGATGGGTAAGGAATACTTTAATTGATAAATAGCTTTTATTCATAGTTATTCTTTTCAGCGTCCTGGTTATGGAACTACAAACACATTACGTATCATCTATTCAGATTAAATTTATTTTAAAGTTATCGATAGCAATACTACGATTTCTTTTACATTTGAATAAACACCAAAAAAATTAACAATAATCTCGCAACGTTCTTTAAGCATTGTATATCAACTAATCGAGCCTAGTCTCTTCTTTATATAATCAATCTACATACATCAAAATAATCTTGCCTTGTTTTGTTTTCAAACCCGCTTTTTATTATTTTTCTTTTAAAGTTATATCATGCATCTTGTAATCTGTTGTCTCACATTTGCAATAGGTATTGATGTTGTGTCATAAATTTATGTCTTTTCTTTTTTTGTTGTCATTCTATCGTATGTAAATGCTCTTTATAGAACATTTTTCCAACAAGAATATATGTAGCTATTTAGTAAAAAGTCCGTCAGTAATAAATTAAATGTATAGTTTGAAGAAATAAGATTAGGCTGCATTATTGTCTAATATTGGTTGATAAAAGTATATGCTTGAATGAGGACGAATGCTTTTACAAAATTGTAAATCTTATTTCGCCTAGTTTCTGGCATAAAAAAAAGGATACAGCAGTAGTTCGAAGACTATTGACATATAGTCGCAGTTGGTTAGAGAATTTAGTTGAGATTGGGATTCATATAAAT